GGGTTCGACGGCGTCGCGCTGCGCTGGGTCGGGGTGTAGTCGAGGTAGTACTGCCGGCCGTCGGAGTTGGTGGGGCGGTGCAGGCTCACCAGCCCCACCCGCTTCGGCGTCGACGACGCGCTCACGCTGGCCAGCGTCGGGGACTCCGCCAGGAGCTCGGAGAGCGTCAGCGGCGGCCGGGACGCGTGCTGCGGCTGCAGCGGCTGCAGCTGGACCTGGGGCTGGTGGAGCTGCACCATCAGCGAGGACGACTCCGCCGCGAGCCGGGGCTGCGAGGAGGGCAGCTTCGACGTGTAGGACGACGGGGTGATCGGCGACGTCGTGCTAAGGCTGCGCGGGCCCGCCGTCAGGTCGACCAGCGGCTTCGGATCCTCCTCCGTGTTGTTCCCGGTGAGGGCGATCCGCAGCGACGGCTGGACGCCGCTGTTTCGGCCGAAGCTGTTGGTGTCGCTCCCGAAGAGGGCGGTGGCTTTGGAGTTGGAGCGCTCTTCCTCGTCCTCGCGCTGGCTTCCGCTGTAGGGATCCCAAGAAAAGACCAGCCTGGGCGCGACGTGGTTCAGCGTGGACCAGACACTAACTATGGAAGGGCTAAGATCCTGCGGCGGCTGTACCGGCTGCGGCGTGAGCTGGGTGTTGAAATGCATGTGGACGTCACTTTGCACCTGGGCCGCCATGGACATCGGAAAGATCGACGGATTGGTGTCAAATTGAAAGGGTGGTTGTCTCAGATTGAGGGACGAGTAGTCACTTTCATTACTCATCGGGCAACCCGGGGAAAAAATCCTACGACTCTGAAAAGTATACGAATTACTATTGTGCGGCCCGTTCCCACGGCACCGTCACGTACACAAGATGTATCTGTGTAGTACTGCCAAAATAAAGTGTATGGAAAGCAACAATTATCAAAAAACTAAAACCAAAAGAATCCTTGCTTCTATAGTTTTTTTGTCTAAAAAAATAGAGGGAAAACTCACTAAGCGAATCGTAAGGTAGACGTTTTGTTTTGTGATTTACTTCTTTGAACACAAAAATTAGGGCAAAATACTAAAACAACAATGGGGTAAAGAGGAACTTGGGATAGATAGTTGGGACAATAAAGTCGAGGAGATGGAACCCAGAGACAAACAGAAAGGGAAATGAAAAGGATTTTTATTTATATAACAATGTTATTAAAAGTCATGATTGGCTATGTATATAGGACAAAATATATAATATTCCTTTTGTTTGCTCCTTTAAACATTTCGTGCATAGAACTTCATTTTTTCGTCTATATAAGAGAAGAAAATATAGAATACATGTGAATGCATTTACAGTGATAGATGCGGTACATACATATATATCTACATACCGACTTATGGTTACATTCGTGCAGCATTTTTATTCCTAAGGGGGTTCATTTGACTTGAAAATAATATGTGTTTAGTTATTTTTACCCTCTGCAAAGAGCATCAGGGTGATGTAAGAGCCTGTTAGAACAATACATAACGCCCTTCAAACAACAGTTGTTGGATTGTGAAGTTCTTCCCCCTCTCTCCCCCCCTCATGATTCCCCCTTTAAATTGAGAGGTGGATAAAAAGATGTCTGTGTTTTAAATCAGTTTGCGGCGATTCCCTCCAAGCTTCTCGCATTTTTGGTATAAACTTACTTCTTTTAGCAACCGTAGCAAGTAGTGTTGGCGGTGGGGTTCGTATATTTTTTCGCCCTCTGGGGGGTCCAGCGCTGAGAATGAACGACATTCCGATAGGCTTCCCTCCCTTTGGGCCTCAACATCTGACCTCAAGAAGGGTATCTCGCTGAGAGCGCCAGCCTTTGTATTCCTGTCATGAGTTTTTTTCGCGTAATGCTTGGCATCCCCGCAGGACGGCGAACCCTGCGGGGATGGGTCTCGCGTCGTAAACACCCGATGGAGGGTCCTCTTCACGTCCAAGGCCGAGGCGATGTGCGCGTTGTACTCCCGCGCGGCCGCGTGGTCGCTCCAGGTGTTCGGATCCACGCCAACGTTGGGCTCGCCCGTGAGCGAAAACGGCGTCGGCATGCGGCTGTCGAGCTCCATTGGGGGCTTGGGGAACTGCAGAACGACGGCGTGGTCGCCGCGCACGCAGGGGGCGTGGAGGATATCCTGCAGCCAGGCCATGCTCGCGCAGCGCAGCGAGTCCGCGCGTGTGGTGGGGGGACTGCTGGAGCGCCGGCCTTCCGAAAAGCCCGCGCGCTCGGCCGCCAGACAGCGCCACTGCAGCCGGCGCAGAATATCCTTCCCCGTCATCATCTTGAGATGCCTGTTGTGGGCGGAGGTCGCGCACGGCGGGCGGGTCTTTTCCTTCTGGACTATGCCCAGGGCCCTCTGGGTGATTTGGTAGACATCGCTCAGCGCGGTGCGCTCGCTCAGGCGGACGTCAAAGAGGTCGCCGCAGGGCCTTTCCTTCGCACGGCCGCCGTGAACGAAAAAGCGAAGGCCCGGGAAGATCGGATCGGGCGCGAAGGCTGCCATCGTCCGAGGCTCGCTGCGCAGGACCGGCAGCCTAAAGTAGGTGGTGCCCTGGGCGGCGGAGGGGGGGAGCCATGCCCGGCGGATCCCGCGCGGCGCG